AGCTCATTTACAACATAACAAAAAGGCTTTTAACTTCTTTTAAATTACAAAACTGTCATTGATTTCTTAAAACAAATTTTACCCCAAAACCTCATAAAAAAGCCCAAAACACTCTATAAGGAATCAATGTAATTTAATAATCAAAATTAAATTCAATAAGATCAGCTATCATTTTTTGAGCTTTTTTTTGGGTTTGTTTATAGAAATTAAATGGTGTAGGGTTTATTTATAGTTTTAGTGCTTAGAATGGGTATATGACTAAATATCTCTTAAATAAACCCTACCCCTAAGAACCAAGTTCGAAAAAAAAACAGATTATTGGAAGGTTCTGATTAGTTAAACCATAAGCATCCTTAAACTTCTGTTGCACTAGACCCCAGGTGCCAAAAAAAATTTCACATGTTATAGGAAACAAATTTCATTGATCAAAAGAAGCAAACACAAAGCACATGACAAAAAATCTACTGCACCAAAAAATGTTCTTCACAGCAGAAGCTAGAAAGCAAAAAAAAGAAAAGAAAAACAACGCATGCAGAACAAAAGAAGTTTAATGACAAAGCTAGATGTCTCAGTGCTTTTGAACCACCACTTCTACTCAAGTTGAAGAAAATGAAAAACTCAAAAACATAGGGGAGCTCACAGCTCCTTAGACCAGATGATGCAATTGCATTGCTAGAAGATTCTCTTAGTATACGAATTAGCTTCCAAATTATCCAGGCCCACAACAATGCCCTATTTCAACAAGAAAATACCTATGAACTATGAGTTGTAGTGTGGTGACATAAATATAAATCCAGTAAAATAGTCACAATAACACAGCAGTACACAAAGACAAGCTACCAATATCTTAATGCTAGAATATCATAATCTCAATGCAACAAGGAATGAGTTAAGCATCAATACTTAGGAGTGAAGAACCAAATATTAACCGTTCACTGCATGCTTTAAAACCAAAAGTGCAAAATTAAATAAAAAACAGCAACCAGGTATGTATGAGGTAAGACAAACTATCCAAGATTTGAAGCCATTAAATGTCCCAACAGAGTAATATGAAAGCAGAGCAAAAGCATTATCCATGAAATCAGAATCTAAGTTTTCCAATCAACGTTTTGCTGAATAGACTTACATAGTTAATAGGAGCAAGGGAACTCAAAAGCCAATAAGTATAAGCCAGGGGCCTCAAGAATTTGAACCAACAAACCCGTGGAAGTGAAATATTTTTGAATTACAAAAAAGTTTGCCACACTAGATCAACAACATATTTTTGAATTACTCAAATGGCAATTTAGTAAGGCATATATCTTCAGATGATGGCCTCTTGACAGTATCTTTTTCTTTCGACATTGAGGTCTCTTGAAAGTTTGGACAATACCTTTCTGCTTTTAAGTTTTGAATGTGTTCAAAGAAATCATAAGAATTTCACTATCCAATAACACTTTCCAAATTGTAGTTGATTTCAATGCATCACCTCTTGTCAATTTTGGCAAAGATACCTGCAGCAACTCCTTTAGACCCAATCTGCTTAGGTTGCCCATTATGAACACTGTGAATAGACAAAATACCAAATGAAAATCCAAGCATTGTGATGAATCATTTGAGCAAGAAAGTTCAATCAAGAAAATATGGTGTACTTCTAGAACAATGGAAAGCCATAATTTAGTAACACCAGAATCATTTTGAACGAAGAAATTGATCCAATCGGATCGTTAATTAATATCATTATGTGTGGCATTGCAATGAAGGCTACACTGTACACATACTTCTTTGTTGCACCACTATGTGGATCATATCTAAACAAATTTCTAATACTAGAAATTTCTAAGGCTACGTTCTAGTGATTTTGGCAATATTTCACTGACATTTCTGTTTTCTTAAATGAAAAAAAAGGCAGCTTACTGCCATGGACAGGTATTCCACACCTTCACAAAATTACCTTGTGTTTGTCCACTTGTATCTCCCAAAACCTACTCCAATCTCAAAAACAACACCTTATAAAGTACTTCATACAAGCTGGAAACCAAACTCAGTGGCGTAAATTTATTCTTTCCCATTGAACCTTTTGCCTTTGCAATAAGGCATGTGTATGTCTAATAGGTTATTGCATTTATCGCCCATCCTTTTGGAACATTTCAAAGGCTTTCATTTCCTCCAAAATATCCCAACAATGTTGAAACAAATCAAATGAAAAACCAACAGGCCCGGAGCCTTCAAAACGACGGCTTTGTGTTTAGTTTTATCATACAATCCTTGTACACCTCTACCAATATTTGGGATATTTTTATTACGGCTCAGCTTTTGACTAAAATTATTTAATTCAACGACAATAGACTAATTTAATTTTCTTCATAAAATTAGTTTCCAAACCAAAATATCGGTTCCTTGAAGTTATAATATTCAATCAAGGTCATAACTTTCAAGGCCAAAATGCAAGTTTCAATTTTTAGCCCTAAAAATCAACTAGAGAAGTATAGGGAGAGAAATTGCATACACCAGTGAAGAACCAAAAGCCAGAATCTTAAGTCTCTACCAATGTTCTTGAATGATGATAAAGATATCACTCACCCAACCATGTTACAACTAAAGCTGCATTGAAGAGATGTGAGGCGACAAAGATTATTCAGAACAATTGATGGGTCTCATCCTTGCTTGAGCTGAGAAGAGGATGAACACAGATCATAATCCAATTGCAGAACCCGTTTTTTATTTGAGAAGAATAGCAAAACCGTTTTACTAGTTAAATCTCCCATAGTATTGTGAATTCTTCAGAATGTTAGTATTTAAAAGCTACAAAGTACAGAGGAGAACAGAATTAAAAAGAAATAAATAAATTGCACACCTCAATGACAACACGCATTCCAGAACGATCACTTTCATCCCTAATATCGCTTATTCCTTCTAAACCCTGTAGAGAAAAGGAAAAAAGTATAAAGAATTAACAAATGAATTTGGACCTTATTACTTTAATAATTTCATGTGAGTGATACAATCATACAGCAGTTAGAAGTGCAATGCATCAACACAAAAATGGTGACAAATTTCGAACAAAGAGATAATACGTGTAACTAGAGAATTCTTGGGAAGATGATAAACAGAGACAAGCAGTATTATTATATGAGGTCAACATGATATCAACAAAATAACTTAGATGAATATAATGGTACTTATTGGATTTAATATAGTCACATATTAAATCAGAATTATAATACTAACAAATGAATTTGGACCCTAAACACTGGAACCTTTCAGATTAGAATCAAATAACATATATAAAAACCAATCACAAAACTACTTTTTAAAGAAAAATTACAATCCAGCACTTTTTAAAGGATCATTTGCCACAAGTTCGGCTATCTTCTCCACAAGGGCTGACTTGTTGATTTGGTAAGGGATCTGACTCATTCACAAAGTATAAAATCACCATAAAAAAAAAAACTCTTTCATAGAGGAAGAAAGGCGAACACTGGAAGCTAGGGCCATGGTAGGGGTTTGGGGGGAAACTGAAGGTTTCATAGAGATAGGGCTGAAGGCGCCACTTGGGGGTTTTGGGATAAAACCCTGGCTTTGCGATTGCTTTTGGAATTTCGAGGCCTCTTGCGCGCCAAGATGCGTGCGGGTTTTTGGATTGGAAGCACCACACGTGACTTTCTAAGAGCATTTTAAAGGATAAAAATAAAGGTAAATTACTCAAATGGTATTCAAACTTATATTCGATTTACATTTGATCCCTCAATTAAATTATTCTTTCAAATGATCCATCAACTCTATATTATTCGCTCCATTCATCCCACCGTCTAATGTTCTATTAGACTAGCCCCTTGGCACATGCTCACGCATGTGCTAATTGGTTTTCTTTTTTCTTTTTATTTTATTTTTAGAATTAAGAAAAGATAACATATGTTATGTTCCATAAAAGTAGGACTTATTATTTAATTTTGTTTTTAATTATATTTTTTTAATATGAAAAAAAATGTGAATTTATCATATTATTTTTATTTAATTAATAATTTCAATTCTTAATGTTTGAATTAACAAATGACATTTTTTAGTATTTTGAATGTTTCATCAATTTCTGCCTTATAGATTTAACCAAATTTTAAGGTAAATATAACTTTTCATAATTAATAAATAAAAATATGGTTAAAATAAATAAAAAAAATTTAAAGATTGAAGAAAAGGATATAAAAAAAAATTATATCCTAAGAACAGACCCAGAACTCACCCCCCCCCCTCCCCCCCCTTATGCGGTTTCTCCTCCCATTCTCTCATCCGTCCCTCTTCCAATTGTGAAACAATCCACAACCAGAAGCTAAATTGTTCAAATTTGTTAGTAATTTGATCATTTATGGGACTGTAATTCGATCATTTATGGGACAATTTTAGCAAATAGAAACTGCCCAGCCAGCTTGGTGGAGAAGGGGTTGATGCCCCATGCTAACCAGTCGACAAATTGGGAGGAAGAAGAAGAAGAAGAAGAAATCTGACGAAGAAGAAGAAGAAGAAATATGACGAAGAAGAGAAGAAGGAGAAGAAGAAAAAAAAAAGAAAACAAACAAATTGTCCAGTCAAAACGGGTCAAGAAGTTGAAAATGGGTTTTTTATTTTTATTTTTATTTTAATGTATCACATATTTTAAGCCATTAGATCTGGCCAAGCATAATCCTACGGTTGTAAATGAATAATTGCTCACAGGTACTCAGGTGCATCGGTGCCTTGGTTTTTCCTCCTTTCTCTCAAAATGGTTACAAAACAAAAAGGGTTGAAAAAAGATATGGCAAATTGGGCCAAATTTAGACGTATTTCTCAAAAGGGTAATTTTCGTTTTGGATTTGGATACATTGTCTTTATCTTTTTCTTAAAGTCTGTTGAGTTTTCATTCTTCAAGGTGTTGCTGATTGCAGAATTGTAGTCATGGACAAGTGAAGAAGCTTTCTGAGGACATCTCCTACCCCCCTACATAACAAAAATGATGCAAGTAAGAAAAATCCCGAGTTTCTCTAGAAAAAGAGTCTTTAAAAAAAGTTCAATTGCTTTGAATTAATGGACTTAAATCAGTTTTGCTACATTGATCAATGACAATGAAGAGGTAGAGTAGTAAATGAGGAATTTAAGATGTGGCAGCTTTTTCATTTTTCCCATTATGTTTACTTGGGAATTATGATCTCATTCATGTACTGGTGAGGAGTAACTAAGTCTTGTAGGTAAACCATGTAGATCTTGATTTCAAAAAGAGTCTAGAATGAACATGTGAAAGTCAGAATTCTAGGTATTGTTAATTCCGGTGACAAACCCTTTTACGACAATGTTATGTTAGAATACAAGTTATGATAATATCTGGGAAACTCAGCAGGCATCAACCCATTAGGTAATATACTTTGCTAGTCTCTTCTGACCAAAAAAGGTGGCATAGATGCACAAGTATCTGATCATCCTTAGTTTTCATTTTCATGCAGTGGGTTGTCAATCTCCTGTTGAGCAACATAATTCATACATTAAATCAGCCTACCCCTTGATGGTTGCTAAGAGAAAAACAGAACGTGAAATTGATTGAAAAGAAGAGCCCTTACCCGAGCTCGCATGTGTTGTCTATCTTCCCGTTCGTCCTATCCTCTTTACATAGTCTTCAACATGTGCTGGCATGTCATAACTAATGACATGCTCAACATCTGGAAAATATAAACCCTTTGAGACAACATCAGTGTAGTGGCGGATCCAGGAATTTTGCTTGCAGGGGTCAACGTCTAAAAGGTACCCCACACTTGCGACAGATGCCGCACTTTGCACGCTCAATGCCATGACATTCCTCACTAACTGATTGTCATCCCTAGTTCCCAGCACGCGCACATCCTTGGGAGTCACCAAACTCTTTCCAACTCCAATGACAACTTCTTTGTCAATGAGTAACGAGTCATTAACTGTCACTAGACCTCGTGAGGAAGCAAAGTAGGGCATCCAGACAGGTGCAGCTCCTTGCCCCCATATCTGTGTTGGTGGAGCTAGGTTGAGATCTAGAGAAAATGGGAAGGAAGACGCCATTATATTTCTGATTTCTTTTTCTTCTATTTTCTCTCTCCTTTTTTTTCTTCTTCTCCTTTCTTTTCTCTCTTCTGCGTGGTTGTGATTTTATCCCGCGTTTTAGACATTTATCATCAGCACACCCCCTTAATCACACGTTTCTTTTCTGACACGAGTCCCTCGAGCTTCACACATAGCAATTATGTTTGCTTGGGATGTATGCCCAGGAAATGAGAAAGCTGTCACCTGGGATTTGAGGGATTGCCAGGTTTTGAGAGATTTCTGAGTATTAATTATAAAATAAGGAAAAGAGGGATGAGAGAGAGGAGAGAGAAACATTTATCGGGCAGCAGAGTTGCTGCCTAAGTTTTATTTATAAAAAAAATTTAGAATACATTACATTTGATGTAATCAACTATATCAAATTTCATTGTGATCTTCACAGTGATTTAACAAAATAAATTTTATTTGTATTGTATGCCAATGTTATTTCTGTGAATTAGTTCATATACTTCTCCAAATTCAGCGATGCCCTAGGTTTCCTACTGGTTTATGAATCTTATTATTGGACTTGAATAGTAGTGTCTCCAATTCCAGCCGACAGCTTTAACAGAAACATTACATTATTCTTCGTGGTTTTGCATTGGGGTCACAAGTTCAAAAGTTTATAAGCCCACCTTATACCCGAACCTCAGGCCCATTATATTTTGTAAGTGGGTCGAGTGTTCCATTATGACCTAAAGGTGTCGTTTCAAGCAAATATTCGCGCTTCATCATTCTGTTCCACCACTCCTTCCCAACTCTCTTCTTTCGCCGTCCCTTTTTTCTCGTCTTTCAAGTGCTAGGGCTATGGCCTTAACAAAATCAAAGCTGCATTTTCGGCACCTTCTCTCTCCTATCTGTCCCCATATTCTCAGACCGTACTCTTTCTCTTCAGCTTCAGAACTACATCTCCAAGAGGACGAAGGCTCAACATACTGTCCAGCTGCACAGAAGTTGCCCCTTTGGGGCATTTCGTCGAACACCTTGCTAGGGTCAAGTTTGGCTGCTCTAATGGAGGATTTCGGAGGTCACAGGGGTCAATTCCCTACCTTGAATGAAGAAATGGCATACTCTCTCTCTTTCTGATCTATCCCTGCATGAATTCCCACTGCTTCCACTAATGTCATCAACACCAGAGCCATCAACACAGTAGATTAGAATGGGCGGTGCAGTCTTTTGTAGACACTTAAGAAGCTAGACATACTTAGCCTCTTCCTGCACAAGCACAACTTGCTAACGCACACTAAGGTTTGCAGTTCCAGCTGTTCCCGTGTTTACGGTGACAGTTTTTAGCAAAACACCTTTAGTAATGTTCAGAATTTGTGTGGGCATGGTGGCTGAAACATAATAGAGTTTGGTGTTGACCTTTAAAGTGGTCGAAAACTTCTCTGATGTCATCCTCAAAGCCCACCAATCTATCAGCCTCATCCAAAGTTAGATATTTGCTATGATCCAGATTTATTCTTTTCAGTTTGAGTATCTCCATCAACCTCCCAGGAGTAGCAACAACAATATGAACACCTTCCTTGATAATGTCCAATTGCTATGAAGGTTAGTAATCAATGGTGCTGTGTATCATTCATGATGTTTAGTGGTGGTGAAATATATATACACTTGTATTAGCTGTATTGGTGGGGTGGATATGCGTTCGCAATTGGACATTATCAAGGAAAGTGTTCATATAGTTGTTGCTACGGAGATTGAAGGACATGCTGTCAAAGAAAAAAATGAATCTCAATAATTGCACATATTTAACTTTGGATGAGGCTGATAGATTGGTAGATATGAGCTTTGAGGATGACATAAGACACGTTTTTGACCACTTTAAATCTCAAAGACAAACTCTCTTATTTTCAGCCACCATGCCCACAAAAGTTCTCAACTTTGCGAAAAATGCTTTGGTAAAACCTGCCACCGTGAACGTGGGAAGACCTGGAGCTGCAAATTTGGGTGTAATTCAGGAGGTTGAGTATGTGAAGCAAGAGGCCAAGTTTGTTTACCTTCTTGAATGTTTACAAAAGACCGCACCACCTATTATAATATTCTGTGAAAACAAAGCTGACGTGGATGACATTCATATATATCTTTTGATAAAAGGAATTGATGCAGTGGGCATTCATGCGGGGATGGATCAGAAAGAGAGAGATGATGCCATTTCTTCCTTCAAGAAAGGGAAGAAAGATGTCTTGGTTGCCACTGGTGTTGTCTCAAAGGGTTTGGATTTTTCTGGATATTCAACATGTCATCAATTATGACATGCCAACACAGATTGAAGACTATATCCACAGGATTGGACGAACGGGAAGATGTGGCAAGACTGGAATAGCAACAACGTTTATAAACAAAAATCAAAGTGAGACGACACTTCTTGATTTGAAGCACCTCTTGCAAGAGGCAAAACAAAGGATTCCACCCGTGTTGGCTCAGCTTAATGATCCAATGGAATTAAATGCGGATGCAATTACAAATGCGAGCGGGGTTAAGGGCTGC